CCTTATGAGGAAAGGCTGAAAGAATTGGGCGTGTTTATCCTTGAGAAAAGAAGAGTGAGGAGAGATATTATAATACTTTTAAAATACTTGAAAGGCTGGCATACAGAAGCGGGGCAGGATCTGTTCTCAATCATCTTAGAGTGCAGGAAACGTAACAATGGGCTCAAATTATGGGAAGCCAGATTTCTACTGAATATCGGGGGAAACCTCCTAACTGTTAGAGCAATACGACAGTCCCCGGGAGTTGGTGAGTGCTCCAACACTGAAGGCATTCAAGAGAAATTCAGACAAACACCTTGCAGATATCCTTTGACTTACATTCCTGCACCAAGGAAGTTGGACTTCATCACCTTATAGGCCCCTTCTAACACCATTATTCTATGACGGCTGCTTGCTTAAGCCCACACACCAACCTTGTAAGGCTACTGAATATCGGGGAAAACCTCCTAACTGTTAGAGCAGTACGACAGTGGAACCATTTACCCCGGGAGCTGGTGAGTGCTCCAACACTCAAGGCATTCAAGAGAAATTTAAACACCTGGCAGATATCCTTTGACTTGCATTCCTGCACCAAGGAAGTTGGACTTGATTGCCTTATAGGCCCCTTCTAATGCCATTACAGTATTCTATGATGGCTGCTTGCTTAACCCCACACACCAGCGTTGTAAGTTAGAAACACCAAAATCCCCACAAGATACGGAGCCAAGGCTCTTCCTTTAGTACCAACAACCCCTTTCTTCTCAGAACGACCAGGTAGTTTTAAAAATCATTATTACAGATGCTGCAAAAAGATATAAAGCTTCAAAAGTAAATTCAACCCTTCGGACAGAATCAAAAAGATGTGAAGCTAATCCATAGCAAAGAATTTTAAGACTGAAGAGACAAAGCAAGGCTAGGATAGTTCCCACAAAACAAAGACTACCTCACTTGTACCAGTAAAACTGAAACATAGTTCCAGGGCATATGCAGAAGGCAGCAGAATAACTGACTAGCATAGCATTGTCCTAAGAGAGACTAGCCTGAACTGTTCCATTTTCTAAGCTTCGTTCATACTCATCATCCTCCCTTCTTGATCTTTCAATGCCGTTCCACCGACCAAATCCCAAGTCACACTGAATCTTCAAGAAGGGAGCAATTTTTCTGCAAAGTAACTTTGTTCATCCACTCTTTTCCCACCCAACTGCTCCTAATTACAAGGAACACGTCCAGATGAAACAAGTTTCTTGCAATTAGGAAGAGTTGGCTCAACCTTGGTTCATATGAATAACAAAGAGCTGTGAACCCTCTTCTTAATTTAACAGCAGGAGCTTCCCCTCCCTCCTGTTTTTTTCTAGCCCAAAACATCAGACATAAATTTTAACATGGCAACTAGAATTGACTATCCCTCTTTTTGCCACTTTCTTTGTATCTTCCCACTGCATTCCCCTCCCCCACTGCCTAACATTATATCTATTGCTTTATTTCGCTAAAATCTGGTTATGTTTCTTTTTATGCACTTAGTGACAGGAAAATCATCAACATCCCCAAGGGGAAAGTTTAGCCCACACCAATACTGCTTAATATCCTCTCAAGGTAGGTTCTCCAGTATGCATCTGGCTGAAGGTCCCTGGTTCAGGTATTCTGGGAGCTGTCATCGAGAAGGAAAAAAAAAAGAAGGAAAAAGGCAACTTTTCCAAGCTCTATTAATCCTCAACTAGACATCCTAGAGAGTCAAGGCCTAGGGAAGTGAGACACAGTGAAACTTCTTGTTTGGTCTGAACACCCACAATTACATTGCCCATGGAAGAATCCGCACAACTAGTCTTGGTCTATTTCATTCCATGATAATTATGCTACTATTAAAATAGCACTACAGTGTGCCTTTTCCTCTTTTCATTACAAGTCACTTGTTGATGAGCACTTTGTGATCTACGCAACTCTTGGCTGGTCTTTGGGTTTCTTTCACACTCACCTGTAGGTGTGATGAGCACAACTTCACTCATCCCTGTTCTCTCCTGGCCTTCCGCCCTATTCTCTCCTGGCCTGCCCATCCTTCTTCCCCCCCCCCCCCCCAAGCCCAACACAGCATGGAAACATGGATCTTTTTGCTGCTGTAATTCATTTCCTTCCTCCTCTTAGTGGACGCGTGTGAAATGCAACTTGAGATCACCACTGCCTCTTAGAACCCTGTATGAATGTTCTACCATATAATTCTTACATTCATGAAATACCACAGCAAAACATACTACAGTATTAGTCTTTAAGGTGCCACAACATCTTTTATTGCTTGTGTTTTGTTTTGTGTTTCGTGTTGATATATCTTCTCATCTAGGATCGCATGTATTTTCATACCACCTACTGTATGCCCTTGGCCATAATTCTGGCAATTGTGGGGAAATTCCTAGCAGAACCAACACCTCAAAGTGCATGCATTCCATGGGGGGCTATTCCTGTTTAAACTAGAGCTGGTGGGTGTTGGTCATCTTCCATGTTCTATGGTCTCTCCAAAGAAGGACACCCCCTCCCATCTCACGTCTTTCAGTCTCCCCATGTCTTGGGGAGGGGGAGACTGGCAAAGCAATAAAGCAAATTCTAAGCACCCACCCCATCCCCTCCCCCTCATGTGACAGCAGTGTCATTCTGCTCTTAAAAGGAATGCTAGACAGGTTACACAGGGACCTACAGTGTTGGGAGTTACCTTGTTCTGTCCTTATGTGACCAGGAAAGGAACTCACAGGTCAACCCCTAACAAAGAAGGAAATTTATTCTCAAAGGCTTTCACGGCCGGGATCCGATGGTTGTTGTAGTTTTTTTGGGCTGTTTGGCCATGTTCCTAAGGTTCTTAAGCTGTGGGATCAGCTTTTTGTCCTATTCATAATCACCCAATCTCCTGAACAGGACAAAAAGCTGATCCCACAGCTATAAATACTCAACTATCCCACGAACGGCACCAGAGTATAGACAGAGTTCTGACTCCTGTCCTCTGAAGATGCCAGCCACAGAGACTGGCGAAACGTTAGGAAGAAAAACCTTATGAACATGGCCAAAAAGCCCGAAAAACCTACAACAACCAAAGAACAAAATCTTCAGTCTTGTTCCCTTTTTAAAGTGGCCAATCACACAGTGGCCTACAAGGTCCATAATAAGACAGTGCTCGCCTTCAGGGGTATACTGTAAAACAGAGAGAAAAGCAAACAGGAGGAAGAAGAATAAAATCAGCCTAGGAACTGGTTCTTAAATACCAGGTTCTTACAACAACTAGTTGGAGTGGAAAATAATGGAAGGCACAGGGTGGAAAAGCCACACTTCCCAGCATCTCAGCAGAGCTAATGGAGGGGCTCTGATTCTCATGGGATGGCTGTAGCTGGGAGGGAGCTGATGGAGAGGAAGAGCCTGGCAGAGAGGATGGAATGTGGACCCCCCTCCCCTGGTGGAAATGACTGGGCAGAGATGGTCCTGGCCCTTTAAGAAGAGCAGCCTTTGGCCGCTTCCAGGTTTAAATGTATCACATGTTTTAATGAAGACTCTTGAGGGCCTTGCAGAAGATGCAAAGCCCCATTCAAAGGCTAAGAAGAACCCTAAGAAAATAACAAATGTTCCCAATTACATTCAAGGATGAGCAACAGATATTTTTAGCCAGAGTCATGTGGGGCAAGACTGCCTGGATCACAGCTCAGAAATGTTGCTGGGGGGGGTGTGTTACAGTTCTAAGGTAGCTAAGCTGGGGGATTCTGGGAGATGTAGTCCAACAATGCAACACTTCTAATGTGGACACTCTGACAGCAGAACAGCTCAATCCCCCAGACACTGGATAGCACTCAACAACAGAAAGATGCACTTATCAAAAATGTCTTCAGGCCCAGCTCTTCCTGTCCTTTTTTTTGTTTCAAAATGTAGCTCTCGGCTTCATCTCACTATCAGAAGCCACTTGCCTCCATGGATTTAAAAGGCTGCATAGCAAGAGAACTTCCCTCAGCTGTGGCTCTGATAAGACAAGGGCTGCAGCTACAAAGGACAGCGTATGGCTTATATAGTCAGTTTTTGGTACTTCAGGGACTCTTAACACAAAAGCAGTGGGTTCAAAGGAATGCCTGCAACCAGTTATCCAGTCACATGGTCAGTGCGTGATAGGAATTAATAGCACACAACTGATGTTCCTGCTTTAGCCCAAACTGTGTCAGGACTGTGAAAAGCATTGTAATCAGCCAGGCTGCCACTTACAGCAGCCTCCTCTGTAGGAGGTCTTCAGAGAGGTTAGACTACATTCCCCATCATCTGCAGCCAACATATCAAATGGATGTGCTCCCTGGGGATGGTGGGCATGGCAGTGCCAACCTTCTGGATTATGCTGGTTTGGGGAGGATTGGCTTAGGAGCAGGAAGTCAGGGTTTCTTGGAGGGGTGATTTTTCATTACTCTTCCCGCTGGAGCGCCTCTTGCAGTGGTGAGGAGTGTTGCCTTGTCTCTCCCCCCACACACAGCAGGCCAGTGGCCAAAGCAAGAGGAACCATATGTTGCTGCCACTTACAGCAGCCTCCTCTGTAGGAGGTCTTCAGAGAGGTTAGACTACATTCCCCATCATCTGCAGCCAACATATCAAATGGATGTGCTCCCTGGGGATGGTGGGCATGGCAGTGCCAACCTTCTGGATTATGCTGGTTTGGGGAGGATTGGCTTAGGAGCAGGAAGTCAGGGTTTCTTGGAGGGGTGATTTTTCATGATTCTTCCCTCTGGAGCTCCTCTTGTAGTGGTGAGGAGCGTTGCCCTGTCCTCCCCCCGCCCCAAGGCCAGAAAGCAAAGCAAGAGGAGCCATACATTGGCCCATGGGAGGAGGATGGCACAGGGAGAAAGTGTCCCATAGAGGAGGCCCCCTCTTTTTCTTCTTCAGTTCACAGTTCTCGGTCACTGCTAGGATTGGACTGAACGCCTACTCCACATTGGCATAGGTAGGTTCCTCTTCCTTGGCAGAAAACTTTAAGGTAGCATAAGAAATATTTTCTGTATTGGTAAATGCCTTTGGCCCATGGGAGGAGGATGGCACAGGGAGAAAGTGTCCCATAGAGGAGGCCCCCTCTTTTTCTTCTTCAGTTCACAGTTCTCGGTCACTGCTAGGATTGGACTGAACGCCTACTCCACATTGGCATAGGTAGGTTCCTCTTCCTTGGCAGAAAACTTTAAGGTAGCATAAGAAATATTTTCTGTATTGGTAAATGCCTAGAAATTCAACACAGAGCACACAAGTTACTAGTCAACAGTGAGAAATAGGGATGTGGAATCTCTGAATTGCATCTCTGTTTTCTTCCTGTCCTTCTTTGTCTCAGGTTGTGAGAAGCTCCTGCTATGACAATCCTACATAAGCACTTAAAGAACTCCATCTTCTAGAAACAGGTTATCTATAATGTATAATTTGGCCTTTAGCATAATCTATATCTCATAGGCCTCAGCCTTGGAGGAAAGACCGTGTCAGATTTGCCTCCTCTTTTGCAATAGCTATCAGCCAGTTGGGAAACAGTCTGCTTCCGTTTGCTTGCCAATGGGCATTATGGCTGGGTTTTTATGCAAACAAAGGAAGTGGCTATGGAGTGTCATGTTTCAGCCCTGCATATCTCCTTTCCTCCTGTTTTAAAATTTATTTTTTTGTAAGTGGCATAGTGCTTAAGTGATGTAGCACAATAGTGGGAAAGTATTTTAAGAAACATATTTGAACTTCTAGAAATGTTTTCACTTCAAAATAGGACTGCAGAGGGCGCCATCTGCAGTCATGGCCCAACCGCAGTCACCTCTACACATCACATGCTGGAAGAAGATACCTCCAGCCCCACAAGGGAGTGATCTAGGCAATTGCACAGCAAGAAAGCCATGTTTATTTGGACCAATCCTAATTGTTCCAAATAAACCATAGGTTCCAACCCTAGACCAACCTGGGAGAGTTTGATGCCCATCAAGGATGAGGTTCCAACCCTAGACCAACCTGGGAGAGGACAGGATGGAATACTCTAACAAGGATGTTGTACACTTAACATCTTTTAGAGTGATCCCAACTGTTTTGCAGGGGGCTACAGAGTGGGGATGAACTCCCACGTAGCTGGCCTCTGAGTCAGCAACAATTTAAAAGAAATGAAAAACTTTGTCTCCCTTCCCTGCTGCAAGCAAGCAGCAAGGAAAATTTCCAGTTCTCAAGATTGTTAAGGCAAAGCATGAGGAAGGAGACAGGAGGGTTCCCCCCCCCTTTCCTTTTAAATGGAAAAGAGAGTGGATCACACTAAACAGGGTTGTTTGAGATACAGCGTGGCTGATCTTTCCATATGGATGCAAGGACTGCCCCAAATATCATACATCAAAGCAACATGGTTTAGCATGATCTACGTAGATCAGTGGTTCTTAACCTTTGTTACTCGGATGTTTTTGAACTGCATCTCCCAGAAACCCCAGTCAGCACAGTTGGTGGTGAAGGCTTCTGGGAGTTGCAGTCCAAAACTCCTGAGTAACCCAAGGTTAAGAACCAGTGCCCTAGATTTCCAGGCCAGGACAATTGGATTGTCTAGTAACACCCTGAGTCAGTAGCAGCCTCTACCTCCAAGGATAATTCACAAAATTACACAAACTATGTCTGATTGTACATATCTATTTGCTCCTCAGGTACGTAGCCCTGGAATGTAATGAGATTTTTCTATTATGGAGGAACTGAGCTGAAATGTATGGTCAGTATCCCATTGCAGGTCCCAGCTAGAGTAGACTTAGTGGAATTTATGCAAGTGTTGACCCTGCTTGTCAGCCATTGATTCAGTGGGTCTGTTCTCTAGCTGAGACTAACAATACTGCCCAATATTCCCCAGGCTTCTTTGTGAGGAATGCTTCTCTTTCAGAGGCTTCTTTTCCTTTGCAATGGGCTGAATAAACATACTGTTTTTATATCTTGTGTTTGATATGCTTAGCAGCTCAAGGCAAGAATTAGAAATAATGAAAAGAAGGGTTAAATTCTATGAATGGAGAGAACCTGTGGCAGAGAGTCGACTGATGTTGGTGCCATTCTCACAGATGCATATTCCGTTTCTGTTGTGTTGCCTGGGATTGGGTTCAAGGGGAGAGGAGCTTCCTCACGATGGTGTCCATCTGTTGGTTGCACAGATGCACTAGGAGCCTGAAATTAAGCCAAAAAGCATTAACAATTACATTCATACCAAGCAGCAATATAAACACAACAAATGCTATGAACACTGGGGGTGCATATAGCCTGAGTATGAGACAGACATGCTGTATACTCAATATAAACATGTTTATAAATACAACACAGGGATGTTGTGTTTTTAAAAATCTTTATAATGGGCTTTTAAATTGTTTTAAGTGGATTTTAATCAGTGCTTTAATATGTAATACATTTACTCATTTAATCTTATCATTTATTGTGTTTTGACTGCCTTGCTACTTGTCTTTTACATATTTCATAAACCACATTGTGTCCATTTATTGGAGAAAAGGAAGAGCATAAGTAAAATAGATGAATACATAATTTTTTTTATTCAAGGCCACAGTTAGAACAAGTGCAACAGTACATCAAATAAAAGTGTATAGAATCCCTTCTTTTTCATACTTTTTTAAAAGACTTGTGTGTACTGCTATAGCCAAAAATGTACTGTAGTGCCAAAATACATTTAAAGAATGAGAAGCAGCCCTAAAGTAATCTCTCTCAATCTGTTTAGTGTCGTGATTAAAGTAAACAGTGGTTCTGAAATAGGATCGAAATTTTACATAGACTAATTAGTCCAATTAAGGAAACATTTCTTCCTAGCTCAGTGCCAATTCACTTCTTGTAACCAAAACAATACAGTGTCTGAAATCCTTTTTCTGGAGCTAAGCAATTATTTCTGGCAAAGGATTTTTAAAAAATTTGAGCTAAAGTCACATGGACTTTAGCTTGAATTCAAGACTTCTGAGTCCATGTGTGTGTGTTCTGAGAAGGCCAAGGACTGAGGGTGGGCGAGGGAGGGATGGTCGAGCAAGCAGGGGCGAGCAAGCGAGCAAACAAGCGTCTGGGTAATCAGAGGTGGGTGAGCGATCAGGTGGGTGGCAGGGTCATTGGGTGGATGGGGGTGAGTGAGGAGCCTGGCAGTTGACCCAGGCAGTGGGTGAGCAAACAGAGTGGCTTTAGTAATGGGTGGGCCACATATGGTCCTCCCAATGGGGGACTGCAACACTTAATGTCCCTTACCATTGGCCATACTACTTGGGGCTGAAGGGACCTGCAGGCGAGCAACATATAAAGACCCATGGGTGATTCAACATCCCCTTAAACCTTGCTGCCATAACATCCTCTTCCTTTTGTAAAATATGCTGATACTCATGCTGCTGTGAGCTAGGTCCACAGGGATGGAAGACATGACCTTTTTGAGCCACAACTCTCAGAATCCTCCCAGTCATTGTGGTCAGTGGTGAGGAGCTTCAGTGAGTCCCCAGGGTGAGAAGCCCAGGGTCCAAACTTTATGAAGAAATGTTGAAAAAGCTGGGTATGTTTAGCAGGGAGAGGAAACAGTCAAGAACTAACGTAACTATGTTTGAAAAGATAAATAGCAGTCACACCAACAACAGAGCAATTTGCAGATCCTAGCAAACTGCAAGGAAGGGCATTTCTACTTACTTTTAGGAGGAACTTCCTGATGTTATGACATGTCTTAACCATGGAGGAGACGCTTTTAAGACCAGAACTGGGAAATGCCTTGACTCAACTTGCTTTTCAAATTGGTTTGTCAAAAATCTTATTCCTTAGTAACTAACCCCTGCCTTTCAGTCAAAGTCAGTGAGGTAAGTGAGGTACTTCTTGGGAGTCAGAAGGGAAGAAAGCAGTTATTTAGTTGCTTACCGAAGACCATGGAACGTCTTTACATGCCTTGGCAGCTGAAAAGATAAGTTTTAAAATATGAATGCAACAATGGAGCCTCTTTTTTTCCCCCTGAATATGAAAAAAGAAAGAATCTGATCTGGGAAAGAGCAAATTAAATATTGAGAAATCATTAATGCCTCCAGAATTTCCCAGAACTTGGAAATATTGGCCAGAATCCAATGATGTAAGTGTTTCCTGCTGCTCCAGCAGGCTCCCCCCTGTATGTCCATTTTGGCACTGGTTGCAAGATTAATTGTGGAACTGGTGACACCATTGAAAACAACCCGGGGACAGGGGCTACTTACACAATCACCCTTCTGCTCCACATTTAGAGAATAAGATACTGGCTGTAATATTGGAAAGAAACAGGTCATTCCTTATTGGCTGTTCTTTTGACACTGGCTCATACCTGCTAATCGACTTCTTACTCACAATATAATGTGAAGTATTACAAACACGATATTGTGAACTTTATTGCCATGATTAGCTTTGTTTGACAACAAAGTGCAAAATTGCAAACTCCTGCAAAATCCCTTTCAAAAGTAATGTTTCTGCAAAATCGGATGTATGTTACTCATTATGTAACAATTGTAACATTGATGATATTGACATTATAATACTTAAAAGTAACATTGTAAAGCCTTGTTGCCACAGAAGGAACAAAGAGCGATGACACTTTGCCTTACGGCAGAACCTTCATTATGCAGGAAGGCAGGCATGAAAGCACAGAGGCAAGTCGTTTCTTGCAAAGAGCTTGGGATAATTGTGTTATGAGAAACAGATGATGGTTTTCATCTCAGTTGCTGCTGGACTGACCCATGTGGCTAGATGCTTGCAAAGCAGCTGATAGTTTTGTTCTATCATCTTTTTCCTGTGCTTCGTTGTCTCCTGAGAATTCTACAACCTCCCCCCTTAACCAACATGACTTCAAAATTAGATTCATTCTTCAGGATGTTATGCTTCTATTTTGTGCACTTTTAGGCAGTACCAGCAGTTTTCTTTGTCACTTTTAAGATCAGATGAAACACTGTTGGTATTTACTAAGATAAAGCTAAGACCCTCTAAGCATTTGCCTAATGTTTAAGTCCTATTGGACTCCATGCTGCTTACATTGGAGTGGACTCATGTTACTATTGCACTTTAAGGTTCTGCCCAGGTTTTTAAAAGAAGCCAATTTTAGGAACTGGGGATTTCGTAAGGCCACAGCACGAGTTCCGGGGATACAGTGGATAGCAGAAATGATGACAGCAGTGGGACAAGAGGTAAGAGCAACTTACAAAGGCTGAGGGAATGAACAGAAATACAGGAAATGCAGCGTGTCCAAGTGTCCACTCACCCTTTTGCTTCTTTAGCCTACACATCAGCAGGACAGCTCCTATTAAAATGACCACCAGCACCAGAAAAACAATGGGTAACAGGATCATGTATAGAAAATCATGGCTGGGAGGAAAAAAGAGGAAATATACATGAGACACCAATTGTCTGAGATAGCTGCTAATAGTCTGACATACACTTTTGGGGATGTTATGTGAATTATGGATTTGGATTGATTCCAGCTGGGAGCAGTTTGGAAGCTCACCATGCTCTTCCTGTTTGTGTGTGTGTGTGGGGGGGTCTGTGGTAAAGAGGGGTATTCATTTCATTACCTACTTTTGCAGGTGCACTGAGAGTCACTCGTCCTTTTTTACTTCCAGACTGGATGTCCCTCTCCCAACCCTGCCAAATTACTTTCTCAAATAAGGAAGAAAGTTATGGAGCCAACATGCAAATGATGTTGACCTATGGAATGTTCCACATTTGATTCGGTGGCCACTGTCTTCTGGTGCTGACTAGCACTTAGTCAAAGGAAGCAAAACCGAGAAATTAGAAACCACAAAGGGAAATTAAGGCCTTTGTGCCTTCAGGTTCTCTGCACTGGCATTTCTGTTGGCCTCTTATCTGTGACTGATTGTTCTCTGTGTGGCTGCTCTTACCTTGGTGTTGCTGTGGTAGGGAAATCTGTGACTGTAGGAACATTTGTAGTAATTACAGCTGTTGTCATTGCTGGCGTTGGCGCTGAAACAGAAACCCCAAATAAAAGGCTTGTGAGGACTTCAAAGTCTTTCTTCCCTATTTTTGATTTTCACAACAACACAAGTGTAAAGGTCTAATGAGTCTTTCTTTCACATCAAATTTGTTTGAAAGGTCAGGACATGTTCTTAGCTTGCAATGATGGTAAAATAGTTTCAATAATCATCGCTTTCACATGGTGTATTGTGCTCACACAAATAATTGCCCAATATAATCTAATGTCAGGATTTCTGTAATTACTGTAAAGGTGGCAAAGTGGTAGGCTCTGCCTTGTGTCACTACTGAGGCTGATGCATGTTTCAGTAATTTTTGTACGGGAATCCCAGGTTTAATGGTCTTCTGTATATGGACATATGACAGATAATAACCCACTAAGGACTTACTCACTGTATTCTGAGTGTTGCACAGCAGTCTGAAAAACTGTTGCAGATTTTTGAATGTTTAATTAAACCCCTCTAGTGGCACAGCATAAATGCAGCAATTTATATAGCAGACTAGCTTCAAGTTCCCTAGAGTAGACCCCCCTCTTTCTTTTTAAGTGGCACTTGACAGTCTCAATAGTTCACTCTGAGACATTAGTGGGAGAAAGAAAAAAAGTTTCATTGCTTAAAATCAAACAGATCAAATAGCAAATTGACAAACATGACTGCTTTCAACAACAGACTTCAGCAAACTCAAGAGAGGGAAAGAAACACTGAGCAGAGGGGCAGGACTCTCTGAATTCAGGGTCAGGAGGGAACAATTGGTTAGCGCTGGAAAGGTCTCTCCCACACAAACTTACTAAAGGCAATGTGCAAGGTTGCAAAAACTCCAACTAAAACAACTTGAAAAGAACAAAACAAATAACAATCCCTATAAGCTTTTCTTTTCATTTTTTTAAATAGAGAAGTAACATATGGTATACGAGGCTTAATATGTGGCTAGTTTTCCATTTCTTAAGTTCACTTTCATTTCCATGTACCTATTTCATACAAAACATACAATGCAAATACAAAAGGCCATCTGGTAGGACTCACCGGGGGGGGAAATTATAATCAGGCAACAGCAGATAATATAAGAAATATTTCTATGTATTTCTACTCAAGAAATCAAGAAATTTTTCTTAAGAAATTTACAATTTCCTCTGACTTAGCCAATAACAATTTTAATCATTTGAATCTCAGTCTTTAATTAATTAAACACATTTTTGAATATAACATTAGCTGATTATTTTTACATAAAGTTTTTTGTATATATAGACATGTTTCTGGTAGACCCATTACACTCTTATTAGGGGAATATATTGATTTTTAAAAACTGAGATGTGTTTCTATGTCTAAGTACACAACACTGTTCATTGTCATATACTGTAAACCTTGTCCATGTAATATTTTTAATACCTGGGACCTCTTGGAACTGAGTGCATCTTTCAAACAATAGGATGAATCAGCTGAAATAATCTAAAAATTAAAATTACCCAGAGAGAGAGACAGAGAGAGACTCACTATAATAGGCTGTGGATACAAAGGATGGCCAAATGGCCATTTCCATCATGCAAATACACTTCCCAGGATATTTGGCTAGCCACTGTTTGAGATAACAAGGAATGAGAACCCTGTGACAAAGATCACAAAAAGTGTACCCCTGTTTGTGTTGGGAAGGAGGGTGAAAGCTAGCTCTCTCTTCCCTCATGCCATTATACAAGCCTTCAGCCACAAGATGTCCAGCCTGCACAAGGGCCCACCTAGCTACACTTTTTTAATATACAGCATATCTTTGGAAAATGGAGAATAATAACTGTGGCGGACTGGGCATGGAATAAGTGGGTGGGGGTTGATGGCAGTGAGGGCAATCGTCTCCTGTATGGGGGGAGGTCAGGGGGGGTGGACTTTTATTCTAAGCCCCTGGCCATGCTGCCTGAGCTGCAGTTCAGAAAAGGAGCTCTTCTGATTTCTGACTTAAACATGGAATTTTGCAGTAGGAGGAGAAGGAGAGGGCAGGATTCAGACCTCCTTGCCTTCCTTTTGTCATCCTGCTAGCTTTACCGGCTGGCTCCTCTTTCTTTTCTCTTGCTGGAAAAAATCCATTACGAAGGGAAGATGGAATAGTTGTTCAAGGTTTCGGGACGGGTAGCACTAAGAGCCATCCATTTGGAAGCCCTTTTGTTTCTAATGCCAGAGTCTCTTATGAAATGTGTCTGTGAGAAAAGAAAAAGAAAAACACAGTTTCCCCTCTGGGGCAGTTGCTGTTTTGCTGTTCACTGTTTGCATAATGTACTGTAAGGCAGGGGGATCAACAACCACACACTTCTCCTTCCCTTTCGTTTATTTCCTTCTGCTCTGCCCAAACCACACAGTACTTTCAATATGTCACTGGGGAGGGTTGGGGAACCGACACAATTTTGCTTCAATAACATTTGTTGCAGCACTGAAGTTTTTTGATCTGCTTGCTTGCTGAGAGTGCAACTGCACTGCCTAGTGTGGACCCAGGCTAGATGGTGCCATATAAAAGTGCAATCAATCAATCAATCAATCAATCAATCAATCAATCAATCAATCAATCAATCAATCAATCAATCAATCAATCAATCAATCAATCAGCCAGGATTTGCTCAACTTATGAAACAGGTGAAATCAAA